AATATTTATAATAATAAAATTTTACAGTAACCTTCTATTATATATTATCTAAAATTAATCTGCAAAAAATATAATTTTACTACTGTACATCCAGGTCTCACTACAAGAAGCTCTGGCAAGAGATGAACCTAAATTCACTTCAGAATCCATATGGGAAAAAAGAGAAAATCCAAGTGACTTTTGGAATAAAGAAGCTCAGGAATTATGACAAATATAATCAATGTATGGTGTCCAATGCTTGTGCGAAGAAAATGGCAATAGATAAATCAATATATGAGAGGCCCAAACTTTTCATCAGTGAGTGTATTTAAATACAGTATGACAGATAATTCTACTTTTTTCTACTGTTTTTAATTTCATAATTAYGTTCATATTAATAACAATTACTGTCTTGATACACATTCTTAAAAATTATAATGTTGGAGAAAACATTTGTGTAGTACAAAACTGATAAGTTATATTCATTGAATTATAACTAGGTCTTGCTAAGCAATTAAACCAGGTCTCCAAGGACAGTACAGTACTGCAAATAAGGGCATCTTGGATGTTATTTATTAAATATTCTACTTTGTTTATTAAGTTAGTTTAAAGGAATATGTGTCTCTACCAGATGGATGATTTCGAATATTACCTGAAATGACAAAAGAAAACGTTTATAAAGGAAAGCATGGTTTTTAAGAATTAAACGTCAAACATTTTAACAATTGCTACAAAAATTGCTATTAATTGCTATTAAWCTAGACCTGTAGCTGCATGAGAAATGAAAAATTGATTCAAATGTTAGATTGGAAAAAGTCTCTACAATCACAACGGGTTAAAAACAACATACCTCAATTGCAATGAGTGCAATAATCCCCCATTCAAGAGTATTTGAATGTCTTTCACTGAGATGTGATCTTAGTAGCTCTGCTAGCTCACTACAGTGATTCAATTTTTCATTCATAACCTATTATAAAACAAATAAAATTATATAACACAATTAGTCATTTAAAGTGGTAGATAGTCTAGTAGTAAGAAAAAGCAACTATTGTGAGAAGATTGTACCTATTATGCCCTTAACTTGAGACAGAAACTCTCTACAAGGTGTACACATAGGTACCAAACTCATTTCCTGGGATACAAGGGGACAAAGACCCTGGGAATGGCCCAGTCTGATTAATAATCCCTGGTTAACTTCATAGGTTTTTTAGAGTTAACCAAGGTCGATTAACACTAATCAAGCTTTGAATAACTCAGCTCTTGGTGAAGTTTAATTCCCACTCCCTAAACAGTCCACCTCTGCCCATTCAAAGACCATTCTCAAACTATTCTCAACATTCAAGTTGGCCTCAAAGCTATTATGTGTTAATTTATTAGAACAAGACTATGCTTAAAAAAATCTTTACCTTAGTTCTTCTTCTAATATCCATGTAGGAACACATACTTTCATAATGTTTACCAAGCTCTTCACGGTCCCAGTAGAAGTCAGGTGTCATTAGCAAGTCCGAATATAAGTTAATTTTATATCTGAAGAATCAAAAAACAAAAAACAAAAACAGCTTCAATAGTCAGCCTTCATAAACTGTATAACTGACTATCAGGAACCCCAACTACAGTTCTTTAGCACAATATGATTACTCTGACAGCATTTTATATTGTTGGGCTTCCTGTGTCAGCTTCATGAAAGGAAAGGATGTAAAAGAGACTGGCTTGTATGGCTTTTTCATAAATACAAATATTTTATTCCATACCTTAAAGAAATAAGCTCTCCTGTTTTTTCTAATATTTCTTTCCTAGACATCTTGAGTTTAACACCTTTACTTAAAGCCTTAAAAAATAATTTTATTATGCTTTCAGGAATTTGAAAGTTTGTAGACATGCTCCTATTGGAATGTAACAATAGCTGAACAATAGGAGTAAAAAAAATAGTGATAATTGGTGATCTTATAAGATAGTTCTATAATACTGAACCTTATGACTCAAAAGCACAGGGATACCAATAGAAAAAATATATATTTACATCAAATAGTGAATGCTAACTTACTGTAGGAACCCACGCTAATGAATCAATATACTCTTCAAGTTGTGACTCCCAAATTCCAAGTTTTACTGAAATAAGATGATTTCATCACAATTATTTTTGACTTGTATTATGTACTACAATAAATATAAAATGATATAAAATATATCACTTGAGAATGAGATCATGTCGATCTCGAAACGTCGTAATTTTTTGTCTTTGTCGTTTATTTTATTAGTTATAAAATTTTTTACCTGATAAAGCAATAGCATTTGAAAAAGCAAATTTGTGAAGAGATTTTTCTTCTATGCTCTCATTTTCACTTAACAAAATCCTTCCTTTTACAAAATTGGTTTGATTTCTGAAAAATCAAAAACAAAAGTAATCATAAGTT